CTTTTTAGAAAAAGGAATTATGGGTGCCTAGAATCCAAACCTCTAAAACTTGCTGTCTAAAATTTGTCAGGCTTACTCCCATTTTTAGGAGTTAGCATATCGCCAAATTTGTGACATGTCAGTGTAGAAATTTTAAAAAAACTTACGCCTATTTCGGAAGGTTGACAAATCAGCCCAGATCTAGGGTACAAATCATCTATGAAGATTCTCAGTCATCCAGGTGAGGCTATTTGGAAGTTGAGTCATCATGGCAACTGGACTTCTTTCTTGTTAGGTTGAAATGTTTCGCTACTCGTCCAAGTAGCTTCTTCAGTCTGAGGAGAATCTGTGGAGGGATCTCCTACTACATTTCAACCTAACAAGAAAGAAGTCCAGTTGCCATGACTCAGTGTCCAGAAAATCAAAAACGTTGTGGCCCAGATTGCTTCAGATTAAAACAAATACATCTCAAAGCCTTGAACTGGGGTCCAAAATCATATTTGTCATAATCTTAGTGTGTGACACACTGTACCTAAGCATAGGTACTTGTGATGTGTGTGGGTTGACTAGCCAATGTGTACCTCTTCAAGAAATACCAGTCAGATAATAAACAGAGCTGGGTTTCATATGCATAGAAAAACTCTCTCTCTCTCTCTCTCTCTCTCTCTCTGTGTGTGTGTGTGGTGTGTGTGTGTGTGTGTGTTTTGCAGGCTGTGGTGTCTTTCTGGTTTCATTTTGGACTTCTGGTGAAGCAAGGAAACAAAGCAAATTACTTTTGTGTTTCAGAGGAGGAAAGTTGCAGTGTTTATTTGAAATCAGAATCTTTCCGAAAATATCTTAGCATAATTGCATAACGAATAATTTGCAGTCTGTTTTTTTTCCCCCCCAAAGTGTTAGTTGGGAATATTTTTCTCTCTTGGCAACCATCTGCATCACCTTTTCGCTGGCAATTTTCTGAAACAGATGGTTCAACATGCCATATTTAATGAGCCATCAAGATCTAAGCTGCTGTGTCTTGCTCTCGTTTTTTCAGTCTTCCCCCAAGAATCAGTTGTTGAAAAAGTCTTGAGAGTAAATCTTTTATTTATTTATATTATTTATAAGTTGTCTTTAAGGTGACTGTCTCTTTTTTGGGGGGGGAACTACACTGTAAAAAGTTAAAGGTAAAGGTGCCCCTTGACAATTTGTCCAGTCGTGTCCGATGCTAGGGGGTGGTGCTCACCTCTCTTTCAAACCCATAGAGCTAGCATTTTGTCTGAAGACAATCTTCCATGGTCACGTGGCCAGCGCAACTACACACGGAACGCTGTTACCTTCCTACCGTGGTGGTCCCTATTTATCTACTCGCATTTGCATGCTTTCAAACTGCTAGGTTGGCAGACGCTGGGACAAGCAATGGGAGCTCACTCCGTCGCGTGGATTTGATCTTACGACTGCTGGACTCCTGACCTTGCAGCACAGAAGCTTTAACCTGCAGCACCATGTCCCAAGTACAGTGTAGTTATCTCCTTTCTGATCAATCTTCTTAACATTTCAGGCATCCTCCCTTCATGCCAGGGGCACTCATTCTCAGTACTGTTTCTACCAGAGGTAGATTGGCAAGCTCTCCCAAGTCTGAACTCTGACCTTCTACTTCCTTAGGGCTCTGAAAAGTGTGGGTGGCCCATTCTTTTCATATTTGTAGTATGGCATGTCCCAAATGTCAGAACAAGGTCGTGGGAGGTATGTCTGTGGTCAAGTGGACATATCTGATTTGAGGATCCCGTTCCCCATCTATTGTCCCTTTCTCGCACTGAATTTAAAATGAATTGTCCCCTTGTTCCGTATAATTCAGTTATTTCCCATGAAAATCTATCTGCTTCTGAACATCCAATGCATGTTTACGAATCCCTTGGTGTTGCTATGTGTTTTCTTGTGTTTCACAAGCCTTGAACCTGATGCAAGCCAGGAGCCAATGAACAAAGTCAATAGTTAAGACTGAAGAGGAGCCAGGGCTGAAAAGCAAATGAAGAAGGTGGATGAGCACCAGAACCATATTAGAAAAGCTCTGTTCAGGCATTAGAAAATCGAGCATTCTCAATACGCTGAGAGAACACTTGTTCCCGCTCTCTCCATCTTTACTTTTCCATCCAGTTGCAGTGTTTGAAGAAGAGAGGTTCCTGCTTGCCTATAGACCTTATGCATGAATCAGAAACCAGATTTTCCAAGTTCCATGTGAGTTGGAAGCTCTCCTCTTCAACTCATCAGAATGTGAAAATGGAGTAGGGCAGGCTACGTGCTCTGCCTTAAGAGTTTTGGAAACACGGGCTTCTCTGAAGCCTGAAGAGCATTCTGACATCATTAACATCTTGGACAGAGAAAGCACTAGAACCAGGGGCCTTTAGTGGTGCCCTGGATTACAACGGGAGCAGACTGCTGCCAAAATGCCTGCTGGCTTTGTCATTTCCATCACAATTGCCCAAGAGTGAAAGGTATTTCAAATAATTCATTATATGATGTATCACCAATTCCCTCAAAACGATGTGTTACCATTCACAATGGATAGAGTGAGAGACTAGGATTATGGAGGTCTGAGTTCAAATCCCACTCAGCCATGGAGACTTTCTGGAGGCGTGGAACTGGTGAAGCCACACCTTAACTATCTCACTTATCTTGAAAGCCCCATGAGAGTTGTTATAAGTCAGTTCCAACTTAATGGTACATAACGACAAACCCATCCATGTTGCAGAAGGAAAGGTGTTAATTTGTCAACATCACTCATACAGAGTGCTGTCCTCTGAAGATGCCAGCCACAGAGACTGGCGAAACGTTAGGAAGAACAACCTTCAGAACATGGCCAAAGAGCCCGAAAAACCCACAACAACCATTAGATCCCGGCCGTGAGAGCCTTTGCGAATATATCACTCATACAGTTGCTTGTTCCTTTTCACTGCTTTTGTCTTCCTTTTGGGGGGGGGGGACAAAAATGTGTCGGAAAAAGTAGGAAGATGGTCTAACATTTGCTATTTATTTGAAACTGAGAAAAGCCCATTTAACAAGGCCAAAAAGCTCTTAAGCCTTCATCGTTTCTAAAGGCCCTTGATCTGTAGACCTGTTTTTCCTCTATGAAAGAGGGTTCCATGTTTGCTTGTTGGTTTATATTACAGTGGTGCCCCACATAGCGAGTGCACCGTTTAACGATGAATCCGCATAGCGAGGGGTTTGGGGCTATCGCTGGAGTGATCGCCTAGCGATGGCCCTATGGGGAAAAATTGCTTTGCGACAATCGTGGGGACGCCCGCAAAGCCCCCATTTTTCCCAGCTGATCAGTGGGTCCAAAATGGCCACCACAAAAACAAAATGGCAACCGCTGTTTTGCCTCACTTACGAGGCACCCAAAATGGCCGCCGCAATGGAGATTTTTCGCTTAAAGGTAAGTTTTAAGCCCATAGGAATGTATTAAACCCGTTTCAATACGTTCCTGTGGGCTTTTCATTTCCAGATAGCAATGAAATCACTTAGCGAGGGTTTTTCCGGAACAGATTAACCTCGCGAAGTGAGGCACCACTATATTTCTATCCCACCTTGCCACTGAAACTATGCAGTGATCAACCATTTTAATCACAACATGTGGGGGGAAAATTCCAGACCCTACACTGGAAACATACATACAGATACCTCCACACTGTGCCAGTGAGTCCTGATACCAGCTAGGAATGGATGGAGGCAAGTGCCCATATTTGTAAAACCACCCTGCACATTAAAGTGATATATATTTTGATGGCTTCTCCAGAAATGGAAAGTTCTCAGGCAAAGATTTCTGTCTTAGATAACTTCAAACCCACCAGCCGTATCTTCAACATTAAGAACTTGGTAGCTTTTCCAATATTCTCCTTTCTAAGACGCTATTTATTCCTGGCTGTGGAAGGATGTAACAATATTTATTGTACTTCAGATGCGTGTGTATATACAGCGCCTGAAGCCCTCATCCTTTTTACTTCTACTATCTTCCATTGTTTTTCCATCACCTCTTGTGCTAGCAGTCTTATTGCTTCAGTTCAATTCCCTCTCCTTCATTTCCTTTTTCTTTTCTTTTCTTGGATGCAGGAACATCATTGCCTTAGAATTAAGATCCTGGGAGACTGCTACTATTGTGTATCTGGGCTCCCGGAACCGCGCCAGGACCACGCTCATTGTTGCGTTGAAATGGGACTCAGCATGATCAAAACCATCAGGTAATTCATTTTCTTTCTCTCTTGTTTTTATGGCTAACATCACACTGTGCCTGAGTCTGTGGTTCTTTGGCTCCTTACTGCTAAGCTGCAGGACATTCTCAGATTCCCCCTTTCTGCTTTACTGCATCCAAGACTTGTTTTATTGGAGGCAGGCAGATCATGCTTTGAAGAATGAAAGAGGCTCGTTAGAGCGTAAGAAACTCCTGTGTGTCCAATATGCTGTAGTTAAGGACAAGTAGGATATCGGAAATGACTGCAGCCATTGCAGCTGCAGAGTGCATTTTGCTGCCAACCAAGGAAACACACACACACTCACACAGAGGGAGAGAGAGAGAGAGGAGAGAGAGAGAGAGAGAGAGCTCCCCCCTACTTCTTCTGGATAGCCATATTGGTTATTCAGTCATTAATACACATGGATGAGGGTCAGTGCACAAACTAAATTCTTTCCAGCTTCATTTTCGTTCTGGAAGCTGAATATATGAAGAGGGATGCACTGTTCTCTCTATACGTAGGTTCTCCACATGAGCCAAAACCCCATTATTTTAATAATCTGGTGCACACTGGGAAACCATGGACTAAGTTACATCCCCCCTTTACATATACAGTGGTGCCTTGGTTAACGAGCGCACCGTATAACGACGAATCCGCATAGCGATCACGTTTTCGGGATCGCTAATGCAGAGGCATAGCGTCGGCCCCAATGGGCAACACTCACATAGCGAAGATCGGTAAGCGTTTTGCTTACCGATCTTCGCTTTGCGACACCCGCAGATCAGCTGTTTGGCGGTTTCAAAATGGCTGCCGGACGCCCAAAATGACCACGCGCAGCATTTTCGTGCCCTCCCCTCACTTACCGAGGGCACGAAAATGGCTGCCGGACCCTGGAAACTTCGCTAAACGGTGAGTTTTGTGCCCATTTTGTGCCCAATGGGCTTCCCCGTTCCGTTTAGCGAAGTTTTCACATAGCGAAGGTTAACCCGGAACAGATTAACCTCGCTATGTGGGGCACCATTGTATAGTTACTTTTACTGATGAATTGGATAAGAGAGAGGATGAGACTAACATACTCCTTCTCACTGTGTGAGAGTACTAATGATTGAATAGGGCTCCAGACAGCAAGGGTATGCTATTTACCCAGAATCCTTTTGTTCATTTTCAAAACCAGTTAATCCACAAGCAGGTCTGTGATGTTCACCTCTATGAAGCACCTACTTTTTGTGCCCTCACAAAAGTTCCAGTTTTGTTTCCGTCACTGCCACCAGTGGATTACCTCTATCCACAATATAAAAGACATTTGTCCAAACACTTGTTTGGTAAATGCAAACAGAACGTATTTATTGAAGTGTAGCAAAGTTAATAATAATCGCAGGTGTTCTTCAGATGTTCATTGTACACAAGCAAATCATTCACAGGTCTTTCTATACATACTTACTTCTTGCCATATAATAAATTACCACCTTCTCTATCTATTTATCTTAACCAGCTTAGCTGCATCAATATCTGTTCCTTCTCTCTCTGACTCTGACTGACTCTTACTCTCAATCTGACTCACTCTTCACTGACTCTTGACTCTCCTGACTCAGACTAACTCTCACTGACTCACTCCTGACTGACTCTTGACTCCTCCTCTCAGGCTCCACCTTTTAACCTCTCTCTCGGCTCCGCCTCTCCACAACATTAGCATACCACATGAATAATACATGACTTCTATTTACCCAGAATCCCTTTGCTCATTTCCAAAACCAGTTAATCCATGAGCAAGTCTACCTTCTGTACCTTTGACTGCTCCACTTTTCTGACATCACTCCAGTGATGTCAAAAAGATCCACCTTGGGATATCCCATCAACCAAGTCTAGATTGCAAGTTTTGGCCCTAAAATCTAAGCAGATGGGATTCTGCTGACCTGCAGCTCTGAACTTGGGAGTTAAGGCATTTTAAATCAGAAGAGTAACAGTGTTATATATACTATGCTTTTCTTCCTTCTGAAAACTTTCCTATTGAAAATAATGTGGTTCACACTACTTTAATAAATAACATGGAACGGACTCTGAAGAAGCTACCAGCAACTGGACCTTATATCAAAAGGAGAGTCTATAAGATAGAATTTGCTTTAATGATGAACTATGACCTGAATGTTGCTTAGGCATTGGATGGTTTGTGTGTGTATGGCTATGTCTATCATATATGCATTTGAGTTAATTGTTTGATTGGATATTAGTCACACCCAGCTAGGTTAGAAAAATATTATTTGTTACACTTTAATCTCACTAGCTCCCTTATGCAACATCTGAGCCTCAATTAAATTAGAAAATGTGTCAAAGGGAGAAATTATTAGAGTCAATTGTCAGGAAAATACTAATAAGATGAATTCTAAGGGCAGAGGAGGGAGTGGACACTCATCCCCCACCCCAGATTCCAATTTGGCAAAATTGACATAAAAGTCTCAAAACTGGCAAATTACAATACAAAACACCATGCAGGAAATACTCAAAGGAAATGATAGCCCAGCAGAACACTTTCGTTTAGCAGTAGCATATTCAGACACAGAAAATGAAAACAAGCACTGAGGCACTGACACAGCAAACAAAAGAGATTTCTATGCAGTTAACCCAGATGAAAAGAGAGGTGGGCAATTAAAAAAAAGATAAAAGTAGATGAAGTCAAGAGGGCCCTAGAAGAAAGCGAAAAATGCAGACAACAAGATGAGGCAAATTTGATACAAAGACAAATGCAATAAGCTAACTACATTTTGAGACTTCAAAATGTCCTTGAGAAACAATCTGAGGATTTCCTGGAAGTCACCAGCGAACGCCTTTCAACATGGTCTGGAATTGGAAGAGAGGAGATAGTACAGAATATTGATTCAATGAAAAGGATGTCTTCAGCATATATTAGAAAGAACTGTTTACCCAAAGGACTTCATGTTTGTTTCATCAAAACAACTTTTAGAGACAGAATCTTGAGAGCAACACAAGAGAAACAGTTAGTGCAAGATGGTGGGAATGCTAAAGCTCTGAAACATGTTCCCTGGAAAGTTAGAATTAAAAGGAAAGAATATGGAAAATGAATGGTCTCACTTTTTAAGAAAAATTAAGGACAAAACCAAGGAGGACGAAGAGAAGGATAACCATACGGATAAATCTGATCATTCAGATAAATCAGAAATAGGGTCAGACCTAGAAGAAAACTCAGTAGACTTACAAGATGAAGAATGCCAACCAGAAGAGGATCTGATGGGAGCGGCAGCACCATAAACTGACCAGGAGGGCAGCATGAGACAAAAACCAAGAACCAGAAAGATGATAAAATTAATTTTTAAAAAACCAAAAGATGTCTACGGGAAAATGGAAGATCTGTTCTTTGAATATCAATGGCCTGAGCTCGCCTCAAAAGCATGCCAAAGTATTTCAATATTTGAGAAAACTGAATATGGATATAATTTGTCTCCAAGAAACTCATTTAAAAAGACAAGACTCCAAACTGATTGAAAACAAAGGTCTGGGAAAGCTCTGCTTATCTTCTGATGCAGAGAAGAAAAAGAAGGGAGTGACAATGTTTTCAAAGAAAAATTACAACCTAAATTAATCCATGCATCTGAAGATGGAAGAACTGTAATGGTAGAAGTCCAAAAAAGAAGAAAGGCGAGTACTGCTGCTAGTCAACATTTATGCACTGAACTGCAATCAAAAGTATTCTTTGAAAAATTATACAAAGACACAACAATATCTCTATATCAGCTTTGAAAAATTATACAAAGATACAACAATGTCTCTATATCAATAGAGAATAAGGAATGTTGTATAGTAGGGGACTTCAATGCAATCTTTGATGTTGATTTGCACCCCTTGTTTACTCCATGCCCCCTTTCCCCCATCCCTACACTTAACCCATAAAGAACAAACAAACAAACAAAAACAAAAACAAAGAAACCCACTACTGTAGGGCCAACATGGAGAAGTCCCTACTCTTAGCCTTACATTCAAACTAAACACAATTTCAGAGATGTCTCTTGAGCAGTTGTATCACCGTTTGAGAAGACAGCTTCTCCAAACCTATATATCAGTGACAATATGTCTTTCAGTACTGATGTCTGAGAAACTTGAATGAGTAGATAATTGTGTCCTGATACTCTGATGGTGGGCTTGTCTTACTGGACCTAGCCACCCCCACCCCCATGGGAACAGAATTCTGGACTAGATACACTTTTGCTGTGGTCTACCATGGACTATGCATTCTTCAGCATTGACCCACAGAAAGGATTCTTGGCTTCTTTCTTATATTCACCATATCTCGGTTTCATCCTTTGTGATTTATATGCAGACAATGGCAAGAAGCTTTCATGTTTCAGCAAGCAGTATTCTGGAAAAGCCATTTAAAAAAAAAAGCCATTAACTGCCTGGAAGAGGGAGTTAAATGAGAAAACTTTTTAATTAGGCCAATCACTGGTGCTGTAATAAAGACCTGTACAGTGATTTTTATGCAAAAACATTCAGTAGTTTCAGTGGACCTTGTGACTTTTTACATTTAAATATTGCTATATCAGGTCTTTCCTTTAATAGCAGTAATATGTGTGCCGCTCATCCACACAATGCAATTAAGTGTTCCTGTGATAATCCACCTTGCAGAAATGTTTTGCTGCTTCCTATACTGTTTTGTTAAAAACAGTATCACTTAGTTGAATAAGACTAGCAAATACCTCTCTGTTTAAAGTAGTCTAAGCAAAACTAAACTACGGGTGTGTTTTTCATTCATTCTAGTGTACTTCTCAGCTTTATAGAAACTGAACCATTTCCCCCAACTCTTCCAAAATTTCCATACAAATTTTAAATCCTAGTGGAAATGAAGTCTGATCTTTTTAATGTGATCCACAGCTAATTTCCCCCAACTCTTCCAAAATTTCCATACAAATTTTAAATCCTAGTGGAAATGAAGTCTGATCTTTTTAATGTGATCTACAGCTATTGTATTATTTTCAAATTCATTTGTTTCAGCCTTGCAAGTAATAAGTTTACAGATGTTCCTTGCTTATTATAAATAATCTTACTTTATCATATTATATAGACTTGCTAGATGACTGATACTTATTCTAAATAAAGATGCCCCCATGTTCAGCGAGGCCTCCTTCCAGATGGGGCATGGAAAAGTTACTTTGGGGAGACTGTGCCTGCCATTGGTTGGGAATTCTGAGCTACAGGACAAAAAAGTAACATTTCCATCTTCTACTTGCAGCTAACATGAATAAGACTGCAAGTGACCCTTAACTGTGGCTTCTTTGTTTAGGGAAAAAACTTCTGTAACCCTGTAGCCCAGATGTGCCACTGGCTAATAGGCTCTTCCAAAGAGTAATGAAAGCCAGTTTCAACACACCCACTCCAGATGTCTGAAATGACTCTCGCTCATCATGAAAAGTAGACAATCTTTTGGCGGTACTTTTTAAAAAGGTCTTAAAACTACAAGCCCCATAATGCCTTGCCAGGGTATAATCTTTCACGCATCATTTCCAGATGGTACGGAGAAAATCTGCAGGGTCTAGTGTACAAAAATGAGCCTTCACCCGCTTCTGCCTCAGTCTTCCTTAAGGTAGGAGGTGTTTTCCTTCAGAGAAAGGAGAAGAAGGGAGAATGAACGTGTTGGCCTCTACAACATGTAGAAAGCTTCTGTGACACAAGAGTCATGGGACCCAAGCCATAAGCCTGTAAAGGGTGCAGCAGAATAGAGCAGTTTGCAGCAATGGGGACTCACGTCATGGGACTTGCCATCAAGCCGGACTTAAGTCAAACCGGTGACTTGACCCAAATCGGGATTTTTTTTTCAATGACTCAGACTTGACTTGCAACTCAGAACGCACCATCCCTACTTTTTCTGGGGGAAATAACTTTTTAATATGGACTTGGTCTTTGGTACTAAAGACTCAGATTCAGACTTTTGACTCAGACTTCCCAACATCCCTGGCATTTTGGTATGTCTATAACTTCCGTGTCCTCATCTATTGGAGTCAACGTCTGAACTTTTGTGACATAATTCCTTGCTAGAGAGGTCTAGCCCTCGTGTTCACAGGAGTACACTAACACTCTCTAGCAGAGTTTGTTTGTTTATATTTTTATCCCACCCAACTAGTGTCAGAGCCACTATTCTGGGTGGCAAACAAACACAATAATGCAAAATAAACAACAACCTCAATTTAAACAGCCCACATAAAAAGCAAGCAAGAAGCATAATATCTAAAAATAAAGTAACTAATAAAGAATAGTGGCTATAAAAAGTTATAAATGTTGAATGCAATAATATTAGGCGGCAAAAACAGGGCAAGTTCATAAGCACAACAAAGAAGAAAAAAAGAGCCCAATCATTCAATGGAATTACTCTGGGGTAAGTTTCAATGACTGATTAGGCATCCTTCAGTCTCAAAAGACTGTGGTAACGTGCTCTGTATGGAGGACTTAGAACAGCATCTAGTGTGGCTGAGGAGGCCAATTCGAGAGTGACAAACCCTTCCACACTGAGGACAAATACAATCTGTCCCCGTCCAGCTCCCTGGTTCTGCTGGTTTCGGGACTGCCTCTTTGCCTCAGTCTGCTGGACAAATGTCGTCAAAAGGTCATAAATGACTTGTGAAAAGAGCTAGGTTTTGGTTGTTGTGGGTTTTTCGGGCTCTTTGCCCGTGTTCTTAAGGTTGTTCTTCCTAACGTTTTGCCAGTCTCTGTGGCCGGCATCTTCAGAGGATAGCACTCTGTGCTCTGGTGTAGTTGACTTGGGAGTGCAGTATTTATGGCTGTGAGGGAGGCTTTTGTCTTTTGCTGTAGATGGGTGATTAGCATGTCTTGTGGGTGTATTGTTGTGTTAAGGAGATTATCTGTCACTGTGGTTGATGGGTGTCATTAGCTGGTCTTCTGTGTGTAGTGATCCCCTGTCCTTGTGGCTGGGTGGATTTCGTTGACCTTTTGCACGCTGTATTTTTGACTTAAAGTATTTCACCAAACTCTAGATCTCAGGATTCTATAGCATGGAGCTGTGCCAGTTAAAAAGATATCCAAACTGATATAACTGTGTGGTAGATAAACTCTCCTAGTGCTGAGAAGCAATCCGCAGTCTTGCCTCTCTGCTTATACTCTTGCAGTCTGCTGGAGTTTGAAGTCTCTGATTTTCTTTTTCAGGTATGTGAGGTCAAGGACAAAGCATGATGTCGACATGAGGATTGGAATACACTCGGGATCTGTGCTGTGTGGCGTGCTGGGTCTACGGAAGTGGCAGTTTGATGTTTGGTCGTGGGACGTGGATATTGCAAACAAACTCGAGTCAGGCGGAATCCCTGGGTAAGTGGAGGACTCCATAAAGGACAGTAGTATATGCTAAGCAGCTTGGAAATAACGCGTTAACTTTTGAAAATGACATTTTGAAAGCAGTATCCCTGGGATTATGTTACTCTATTTATCACTTATGGAAAGTTGATAAGCTGGGAGAAGAAGGAAAGAAGAGAAATATCCAGTTTGAAAGAAATTCCTAGCAGGGCAGAAGGCTAAAGGTGGATAGTCCATTGGTAGGAAAGAGTTTAGCATAATCAGCTTGCAGGTAGACATGAAGGTTGAGGGGTACTGACTTCTTAATAACTATTATTAAAAACACAATGTCCTCCTAGGCTTTTTCTGCATCTCACCTACAATTCGTATACTACTGGTTGAGAACCTCTGTTGTAGACCAGCCTTTCAAAACTTGATGCCTTCTGATATGTTGGTCTGCATCTCCTATCACTCCTAGTCAATTATGACTCTCCTTTCAATTGTTGTCATCGGTCCTTACAGACACTAGAAAATGCATTCTTACAACCCTTGTAAAGAAACCCTAATGATATTCCAAAACTATATAAAGATAATGGAAGCTTTGATGCAGCTTTTTCAGGTCTTCATGTTGATGAGAGTATTCATTCCGCCACATATTCCAGAACTGATGCTTCCATTCCCTTTAAGCTTAGCGGACAGCATTTTATCATCTGCTAACCTCATGACGTGATACTTGGGGACACATATCCCACAGGCAGTGTTCACACAAATATGTCACTTTGGGTTGCTAATGTGTGCTTTTTGGTGTGCTTTTTGCATAGGTGGCCTGATGTGAGATATATATGTAGTATCGTTTCAGTCAATCATCTAGATATGGGCAAACCTTCTTTCTATATGACACAACTAATATATTCCAGCACACTTTGAGTAGCACAAGTGACTGAATAGCAACACGGCTACTTCTCAATAGCAAAATTGATACATGGTGTGAGAGATGGCAATGGGCCATTAAGCTGTCCCCTCCATTCCTTCTGCCAGCCTTATCACAGCTAAATTTGGTCATAAGTGTTTGTCTGTTTCCAAGACCAGAAACTCTAAAGGGACATCTTACCTGTCCCTTGGAAGTCCTAACCTGACCCCACCTAAACACATATATAAATAAACCCATCTTAGGTTCATTATTCCAGAATTCAGAAGTGGGGAACTGTAGATCCTCTAGATGCTTTGGACCATCTTTCCTCTAGACCAGTGGTTCTCAACCTTGGGTCTCAAGATGGTCGTGGATTACAAGCAGTCCTGGCAGGCACAGCACAAGTGAAGGGCTTCTGGGAGTTTTAGTCCAACAACATCTGGGGAACCAAGGTTGGGAAACACTGCTACAGACCCTCACCTTTGGCTGTGTTGAATAGAATAGATGGGGGACTGAACCCAAAACATCTGGGGAGGCAAATGAACTCCTTGCTGTTGGCTGTGCTGAATACTGTTCATTTTTTTGCTTCTTCATACCTCTGCAGGAGAATCCACATATCCAAAGCTACTCTCGATTGTCTAAATGGGGATTACAATGTTGAAGAAGGACACGGCAAAGAACGTAACGAATTCTTGAGAAAACACAACATTGAGACTTACTTGATCAAGCAGCCTGAGGAAAGCTTGTTGACTCTGCCTGAAGACATTGTCAAAGAGGCAATCACATCTTCAGACAGGAGAAACAGTGCGGCAACATTCACCGAAGGCTCCTGGAGCCCCGAGCTTCCTTTTGATAACATTGTGGGAAAGCAGCATGTAAGTCAATCTTTCCACCCTCAAATCATCTCGCATATATAGCATGCTTTACCGCATCTCCATAAAGGAAGCTTCAGAAGCCACCATTTTCTTTTTACCTCTTTTCACTCAAATAAACTTTAGATCAGGCTTGTCCAACCTGTGGCCCAAGGGCCGCATGCGGCCCAGGTCAGCTCGTAATGCGGCCCAGTGCAATTTTTTATTTTTTAAAAAATTCCAAAGTTTCAAGTTACACTGCCAGCACTTGCGGCCGGAATGTGGCCAGGACATGTCACAACAGTAGAGGGGGAGAGAGGGAAGGAAGGAAGTAGTGGGAGGGGAGGGGACAGGGGGTGGTGTGACCGCATTGCGCCATCCCTGTCAATAGGTGGACCCCCTCCCGGCCCCATAAAGCTGCCGGAGTCAAAGCTGGCAGCCTCTGCTGTCTGAGATCGCAGCTAAATCATCTCGCATATATAGCATGCTTTACCGCATCTCCATAAAGGAAGCTTCAGAAGCCACCATTTTCTTTTTACCTCTTTTCACTCACATACACTTTAGATGATTAAGCCAATTACTGCAGGTCAGAATTAACCTATGTTCAGAAAGTACTGTATTTTTCCATGTTTAAGACTATACTTTTGTCTAAACTCTTTAGACTAAAAATTGAGGGTCGTCTTATACACGGAAGTAAGCTGAGGAGAGAACAAAAACAAGTAGAGGGGAAAGCAGGGATCAAAGCGACCCTGAAGCACTTTGATCCCTTTCCCCCTACACTTGCTTAGCCCCACTTAGATTTCTTAATTTTGGATTAGAAAAGTGGGGGGTGTCGTATACATGGGGTTGTATTATACATGGAAAAATAAGGTACTAAGGTTTCATAGAACCATAGAATAACAGAGTTGGAAGGGGCCTATAAGGCCATTAAGTCCAACCCCCCACACAGTGCAAGAATCCAATTCAAAATATATCTGAAAGGTGGTTATCTAATTTTCTCTTCAATGCTTCCAGCAATGGAGCACTCACCACCACCCAAGGTGATTGATTCCATTGTTGTGCTGCTTGAACAGTTCCTGATATTCAAGTGAAATCTGGCTTCCTGTAACTTGAGCCCATTGGCCTGCACTCTGGGATGATCAAGTACGGATCCTGTTCCCCTTCTGTATTTGAAGTGTTTGAAAAGTGCTACCTTATCCTCATCTCAAGTCTAAACATAATCTAGTTCTTTAGTTTTTCCTCATAGGGTTTGGCTTCCATTCCATTGCTCATCCTTGTTACCTTGCTCTGAATTTGCTCCAGTTTGTTGTCATCCTTTTTGAAGTGCGGTACCCAGAACTGGACACCATACTCAGGATGAGGTCTAACCAGTGCCACATAGAGGAGAACTAGTTTTTCGTGGGATTTGGACATTTCTGTTAATGCACCCTAAAATAACATTGGCCTTTTTTTGCACATCATGCTGTTGGGTCATATTCAGCTCTTGATCTGCAACTCCAAGGTTCTTCTCACTCGTAGTATTGCTGAGCAAAGTATCCCTCATCTTGTAACTGTGCATTTGTTTTTTAACCCCCTAGGTATAAAAATGTGCACTTATCCCTGCTAAATTTCTTTTTGTTGTTTTTACCCTGGTACTTGAGCCTATCAAAATCTTTTTGAATTTTTTTTCTGACGTCCACCCATTTTTTCTGTAACACTAATTTGATAAGCATTCTCTGCAGCCCCTTATCCAAGTTCATTAATAAAAATGTTGAAGAGGACCGAGCTTTGTGATATCCCACTTATTACTTCCCCCGTGTTTGAGCAGGTGCCATTGATAAGCACTCTCTGAGTAGATTCCGTAACCAAGGGTGTATCACCAAGTGTGTATCCACCCGACACTTGTGCTATGCAGCCCACACCTGGTTAGCTTGCTAATCAGGATATCATGGGGCACTTTGTCAGAGGCTGTGCTGAAGTCAAGATATCTGCAGTATTCCCACCTTCTACAAGGGAGACTACCTGGAAAAAAAATGAGATAGGATTAGTCTGTCAGGGTTTGTTCTTGAAAAACAACCATGTTGTGTTGACTTCTTGTTATTACTCATTTATTTCCTCCAATGTACTTGTAGAGTGACCATTATAAAATCTGTTGGGACTGATGTCAGTCTGACTGGCCTGTAGTTCCCAGATTCCTCTTTTTTGCCCTTCTTGAAGACAGGGACAATGTTCATCCTCCTCCAGTCATCCGACACTCCGCCCATCCTCCATGGTTTCAAGAAAATAATAGACTGTGGTCCGAAGTGTTCTTCAGACAGTTTGTTGAATAATCCCATCTCCCTTCTGAAATTAAATGTCACACACAGTGGAGTGTCAATTGAATCAGAGCCTCAGACAAGTTCTTCTTGTATTAAGATCCAAGAGTCTTTTTAATTGCTGGAAGCTATCCTCAGGCATCTGAAAGGGCGTATGCTTTCAACACAAATTAGTCTAGGTCAACTGTGGCTCTTCCAAATAGCAGATGAGGCATTTGACTTGTGAGTGGACTGAACTCCTTTAAACTGTATAAGCAGGAACACATACACAGTGATGCCTCGCATTACGATGTTAATTCGTTCCAGCAAAATCGCTGTAAAACGAAAACGTCGTAATGCAAAAATTAAAAGCCAATTGAAACACTTTAAAACCCGTTTAATGCGTTCCAATGGGCTGGAAACTCACCGTCCAGCGAAGATCCCCGATAGGGCGGCCATTTTCGGTGCCTGTGCAGTGAGGAATCCGTTCCAGAAAACAGCGGGGAGCCATTTTATTTACCTGGCGGCCATTTTGAAACCGCCAATCAGCTGGAGGAAAATCATCGTTTTTGCGAAGAATCGGTTCCCGAAGCAGGGAACCGATCATCACAAAGTGAAAAAAATCCATTCAGACCATCGTTGTAATGCGGTTTTGTCGTAATGCAGGGCAATCGTAAAAAGAGGCACCACTATAGACACATATACCATACTTTCCCCCCTACAAACAAATAGAGTGGTTAGTGTCAGATTAGAGCACAAAGCTAGGATCTGTTTGCGTGGAACCTGGCTTAATTAAGTCTCCAAGCCTTCCGCTTCAGGTCTTTCTCCTGACTGCCTCACATTCAGGTGTTTGCAACGAAGGTAGAACTCCCAGAATGGAGAGTGAGGGTATTTGTAGTTCAGAAAATCCAAAAATCCCATCCCTATGGATCATCTCGTCTGCTCTATGTGAGGATTCAACTGCTATTCAGTTGTTCTGCAATCCAGAAAGATCAACATGGTTACAAGAGAGAGGCAAAACGAACCTTCCTTCCTTATCATTTTGATCACTCAGGAAGCAATCAGTCTGAAGATGAGAGGTTCTTGGTTGTGTGTAGGCTCTAGAGGAAAGCACACATGCTCATGTGTAGAGCCAACACATGGGCAGGGCTTTTCTCTTCAGGTATGTCACTGCTTGCATGAGAAAGGCAATGAGGGAAGGAGTGGAGGTTGACTGTTTCCCAGTAACCATCTTTAATAACCCCAGATTTCAGAACAACTGAATGGAAGAATTCCTTTTGACACAACCCTACCTGCAGAAGGCTGGTGATATCATCACCAGAAACTGATTTTTAGCAATTAAAGATACCTCCTCCAATCCCATCGCTTCTATGTGATGAAAGGGATTACCAGAAGCCTTGGGACAGAAATAGGAAGCATTTAATTTCAAAAAATTACTTTCTGCTGTTGTCATCATCAGTGGTGTACAGATCTAGCAGCACTAACAGGATTTCAGCAATAGGTCTTAGAGCTCAGTTTGGACTTTAATTTCCAGGTTAGCTGCTCAGTGCCACCGGGCAAGATCCTGTTGCTTAGCATAGTAAATTGCACTGAAGGATGTGCAACGGGGGTTTAGTGAGTCAACCCCTTTGTAAGTTCCATTGATCCAAGTGCCTTCTCATGTGCTATTTATTTCACTACACAACAGGATTTTAGCCATTGTTTTCTGAAATTTTGAACTGGAAGAATCAATTAGTGTCAACAGTGCTTATTCACCCATGAACTGCTTCACTGATACTGTAATTTATGCATGTGTCTGATAGGTGTGGGATTTTTTTTACTATTATTGCTAGTACTCAGTAAGAAAGTTGGGTATTACTATTATTGTAACAGTGCTGCTGCTGTTGATTATGGTGATGATGTCATCAGTGTGCATAATGCTTTGCAGAAATCATCACTCACTTAGTACCTCCCAGAGATGATAGACCACAGTTCTCATCGTCCCCAGCCTTCCTGGATGAGTAATGGTCATTGTAGTCTAACCCATCTGGAAAATACTACCTTGGAATGGCTACTTTGTAAGGAGAATTATCTAGAAGTTGTAGTCTAACCCATCTGGAAAATACTACTTTGGGAATGGCTACTTTGTAAGGAGAACTATCTAGAAGTAGAAAAATAAGAGAATTATCTAAATGTAGACAAGCAAGATACTAGAAGGCTACAGTCAAGATCTTATAGTGTCATTACCCTCATGCAACTCCACACTCTGTTGCCTGTTTCTTTGGCTACCATGGAAGGTCAGTTTCTAGACACATTTGCACAAGCAGGTCTTCCACTTACAGAAGCTTGCAGAAGTGGTTGCTCTTCCTGTGAGCTTGTATGGGTTAGATTGTACAACTAGTACAGATTACTAGTTGGTTATGGAACAAAAACCAATGGCTTGAAGTTCCAGTTCCTGTTGTGTGCTTTCTCACAAGGCAGTGTGAGCCATAGCAACTGCACAAGTAGGTATTTATGCAAATATTGGGTAGACCACTTACAGAAGCTTGCAGAAGTGGTTGCTCTTCCTGTGAGCTTGTATGGGTTAGATTGTACAACTAGTACAGATTACTAGTTGGTTATGGAACAAAAACCAATGGCTTGAAGTTCCAGTTCCTGTTGTGTGCTTTCTCACAAGGCAGTGTGAGCCATAGCAACTGCACAAGTAGGTATTTATGTAAATATTGGGTGGAAAGCAAGGATCAGCATGAAACTTTCATGGTGCTGTAAGGC